AAGAGGCATTGGAAGAAAAGTTGAGCAGGATTCTAAAAGCGTTAGAAAAGGTAAACAGAGGAAAAAAAATAGAGGGGGATGCCTCACTGGAAGCTACTGAATCAGCATATCCTCCAGGTTTTGGTTTACAATAAACTCAAATTGCTCTAATATTCTAACCTCAACAGGCAGCTCTTTCAAGATACAATTACTCGGGAATGACCTATGCACCCGATCACGAAAATATCTAAAGTTATGATAATCCTATTTATGTTGAAAATATGGCTGAACCTATTCAGCTCCTTACTATAGATGAGGCAAAAGAGAAAAAAAACTACAGATAGTTGTGCCCTTAAAAAGTTCTAAAACTGATCAAGCAATAAATAGGCTGAAAGAAAGATTATGGGCTATAGAGGGCATTGATTTTTATGGATCTATGGATGCAATGAAAATTTGCCTAGCACCAGATGTGGTGATGCCACCCAAGTTTAAAGTGTCGAAGTTTGAGAAGTATGATGGTACTAAGTGTCCTATCACACATATCACTATGAACTGTCGTAAAATAATGGCACATGCTAGTAATGAGAAGCTGCTTATGCATGTGTTTCAAGATAGCTTAACTAGATTCGCAGTAAGGTGATATGTTCAGTTAGATGAGACCTGCATAAAGACATGAAAAGATCTAATTAGATCTTTTATTAATCAGTACTATTATATCATTGACATGGCTTCTAACTAACTTTTCCTACAAGCAATAAAAAAGAAGGCATCGAAATCATTCAAGCAATATGCTTAAAGGTGGCGGGATGTGGTTGCCTAGGTACAACCTTCTTTAATAGAGAATAAAACTATTATGCTATTTGTGAGCACTCTAAAGTCGCTTTATTATGAGAGGATGATAAAAAATGTGACTAAAAATTTTACTAATATGGTGATTTCAAGAGAGATTATTGAAAATGCCATAAAAATGGTAAGCTTGAAGAGAGTGAGTCTTCTAAAAGAACACCCAAGAAGAAGGAGAGTGAAACTTAAGCTATGAGTCTTGAAGTGCAGTAATTCATAAGCTACATTCGACCTACTTACCCTATATACCACCATACGGTAAACCATACTTATGTATCTCTTTATCAATTAATTACCCAATCATCTTATCCATATTCACCAAGATTTCCTGCTCATAAAGTCAGTACTACCAATAATAATAAAGAACCACAAAGTAAGGAAAGTGCCATCTTTGACCCTATACCCATAAGCTATATAGAACTATATCAAAAATTTTACAAAAATCATTTAATTGCTCTTATCCCTGCCAAATAGCTTGAACCTCCATATCCTAAATAGTATGATTTCAATGCTCATTGTGACTAACACTTTGGAGTAGCAGGATATTCTACCAAAAACTATGTTCCCTTCAAGCATAGAGTACAAAGCCTAATCAAGGAAGGGTTGATAAGTTTCGACACTATAGGGAATCCAACGCCCAATGTTAGTGGGAAGCCTTTACCCAGTCATATGATCAATGCTTTGGATGTGGGTGGAAAACATGTGAAAAAAAGAGTATATGAGCTTAAAATGCCATTTAGCCAGTTGTATGATGTCCTACATGAAGTAGGATTGATACAGCTAGTAATTCTATGCACCTACATGAGAGGACACATCCCTAATCAAAAGTGTAAGTATCACAATGGAGCTTCGGGGTATTTTATTGAGAAATATTGATAATTTCACCAATAGGTGTAAAAACTAATAGACTCTTACCAGATAGAATTATATGAAGAGTCAAAAGCCTCTGAAAATATCAAGGTGGCCATGACAGATAAGTAGGTGCCAAAATCTATCACTATACATTGTAAGGAGAGGCCACAATTAGATGGGAATAAGTTTGTTCCCAAACTAGTAGCTCTCAAAGTTCCACGCCCATTTATTTATAAAGATGACAAAACAGCACCTTGGAAGTATAAGTTTGAGATGATGACTCAGGGCAAAAAAAAAATATACCAAAATCTAAAATTGCCAATATAATAAAGGTAGAGGGCATAACTAGAAGTGAGAGATGTTACACTCTGACAACTTTGGAAAAAGAAAAAAAATCAGATTAAATTAGAGATTCTAGATGCCTTAAAATTCATGCTTGAAAAGAAGGCTTGCGAGTTTTTGAAGTTAGTCAAGCACAATAAATATTTTGTGATTGAGCAATTAATAAGATGCTAGCCAAAATTTCTCTACTATCACTTCTCCTAAACTCTAAACCACTCGCAATACTTTGTTAAAGGTATTGAATCAGGTTTATGTGACCCATAATGTCTCTGTAGAGTATATGAATCACTTGGTAGAGAATCTAGTGGTGCCATACCATATCTCCTTCAGTGATGATGAGATTTCATCGGAAGGTAGAAGGAGCATCAAGGCACTACATGTCACTATTAACTGTAAAGGCCACATAGTAGCTAAAGTCCTTATTGATAATGGATCAGCTATTAATGTCATGCATATGTCAACTTTAGCCAAGCTACCCTTTGATATGTCCTATATCCAAAATAGTCAGATGGTGGTTCAAGCATTTGACGAGATTAGACGAGAGGTCTTAGGGGATGTTGAGCTACTTATACAGATTGGGCCTTGTGTCTTCAACATAACATTTTAGGTCATGGATATCTCTCTATCATATAGTTATTTATTAGGAAAACCATGGATCCATAAGGTGGGTGATGTCCCTTTTTCATTGCATCAAAAGATCAAATTCAATGTAGAAGGACAATTAGTGATTGTAGCTGGGGAAAAAGATTTACTGGTGATCCAACCTATAAATGCCCTATATGTGGAAGCGACAGAAGAATTATTAGAGTGCTCTTATCGATTTTTTAAACCTACTAATGTAATGGGTGAAAGACTTAAATTTAGTTAGATTATGATTAATCAGATGGTTAACAAGGGTTAGAGTATTGGGCTCGACTTGGGCAAAAGCCTTCAAGAGATAAGGGAAATTCCTAAGATTAAATATTACAGTTGCAGATTGAGATTGGGTTATGAGATGAAAGAATGGCAAAGCAATAATAAAAGGGTGCAAAATGGGTCGATGATCTTCCCTCATTTAAATGAAACTTTCATTTTTAAAGCTGAAAAAGATACAAAAGTGGAACCAAAGTGGGAGAAAGCTTTTGCCAAGCTATCCATTCACATGGTGGATAATGGAAACCAAAACGAGAAAGCCTTGGTTTATCCCTACCTGTCAGGATATGAATTACAAAATTGAAGGGTCATCCAAATACCTATTATTTTTTATTTTTCTTCAATGTAATCACATCTCTTAATTACTTATGCCCAAAAACATTAGGATAAACTCTTATGTTTGGGCCTTTTATTTTTCATTATTTTAATAAAAGTAAGAGCATGCATTTTGTTCATTTCTTCCATTCCATTCATTACCCCATCAAAATTTTTTGCCAATATTTCCTATTCTATTAACTTTCAAGTCCCTAAATAAATACGAAGGTAATCATGACAATGATCCAGGATTTAACTTTGAAAATTCAATTAATACCGATGAACTTGATACTGAAGAAAATTCTGAGAAATACACTTTGTCCTCAGATTTAATGAGGCTAATTGAATAGGAAGATAAACCATTGAGCCTCATCAAGAAGTGGTTGAATTAATCAATGTAGGTGATGCCGAAAACAAAAAAGAAGTCAAGATTGGTATTTCACTCTCAGTTCTTAACCGCCATCAGTTAGAGGATTTGCTTTGGGAGTTTAGGGATGTATTTGCTTGGTCCTACCAAGATATGCCTAGACTAAGCATCAAAATAGTGGAATATAGGCTACCATTAAAGCCAAAATACAAATCGGTACATCAAAAGCTAAGAAGAATGCAATCGGAGATGCTATTGAAAATCAAAGAGGAAGTCAAAAAGCAATTTGATGTAGGCTTCTTGCAAGTGGCCAAATATCTTGAATGGGTGGCTAATATAGTACCTATCCTCAAAAAAGATGAAAAGATACGGATGTGTGTAGACTATAAAGATCTAAATAGAGCTAGCCCTAAAGACAAGTTTTCTTTACCTCACATTGATACTTTGGTGGATAATACAGCCTGACATTCAGTATTCTCTTTCATTGATGGATTCTCTGGCTATAATTAGATAAAAATGGCTCTAAATGACATGAAAAAGACCACTTTTATCACTATATAGGGGACCTTTTGTTATAAAATCATGCCTTTGAACTGAAAAATATAGGGACAACTTATCAGAGGGCCATGGTAATACTTTTTCATGACATGATGCATAAAAAGATTGAGGTGTACGTGGATGACATGATTACAAAATCCAAAAAGGGAGAGGTTCATGTAGTCAACCTTAGAAAATTATTTGAGAGGTTGAGGAAGTTTCAGCTCAAACTAAATCCAACCAAATGTACATTCAAAGCCAAGTTAAAAAAGTTGTTATGATTTATAGTCAATGAAAGAGGGATAGAAGTGGATTCAGACAAAATTTGGGCTATTCATAATTTATCCCCACCAAGCACATAAAAAGAGGTTCAAAGTTTTTTAGGTAGATTGAACTATATACCCCGATTCATTTCTCAACTCACTCATAAATGTTACCCCTTTTTCAAACTCCTTTGGAAGAATAATCTTGGGGAATGGAATGAATAATGCCAATAAGCCTTCAATAAAATTAAGTAGTACTTATTAAACCCTCTAATATTAGTACCTCATGTTTCGATAAAACTATTGATTCTATACATAGTTGTATATGAGGGATCAATGGGATGTGTGTTGGGCCAACAAGATAAATTCGACAAGAAAGAGAAAGCTATTTATTACCTGAGCAAGAAATTCACAGAATATGAGTCTAAGTATTTATCACTAGAGAAAATATGTTATGCTTTAGCTTAGACAACTAAAAGACTTAGACAGTACATGCTTTACCATACAACTTGGCTTATAGCTAAACTGATCCCATTAAATACATCTTCGAAAAGCCCTCACTATCAGAAAAAATCGTAAGATGGTAAGAGATGCTTTTGGAATATAGCATAGCATATGTGAGCCAAAAAGTGATTAAAAGAAGTGTCATTGCTGAATTCTTGGTAGATAGGGCCGCTGATGATTATGAGCCCATGAAGCTTGATTTTCCATATGAGGAACTAATGGTCATCTCAGAGTTAGAAGAGGATGATGATGAAGAAGAGATATGGATGATGTATTTCAATGGAGCTGCTAATGCCATGGGGCATAAGATTGGAGTAGTTTTAATATCTCCAACAAAACATTACTATTCTGTTACAATAAGATTGAATTTCAACTACACCAATAATATAGCTGAATATGAGGCTTGTGTCATGAGATTACATGCTGTTTTAGATAGGAAAATTGAAACATTAAGAGTGTTTGGGGATTCAGCTCTAGTTATTTATCAACTAAAAGGTGAATGGGAAATAAGGGATTCAAAGCTTATTTCTTATCACAAATACATCTTAGAGCTATGTAAACAATTCAAAGCAGTTCATTTTGAACACTTGCCTCATGAAGAAAATCAGATTGCAGATGCCTTGGCTACCTTAGCTATAATGGTAAAGATTGCTTAGCCCATCAAATTAGATATCAAGGATGTACTAGTACATTATGCTAACTTGGAAGAAAATGAGGATGGCCACCCTTGGTACCATGATATTATGTGATATCTAAAGAATCAGCAGTACCAGATCTAGCAATAAAAAATGATAAGAGAATCTTGAGAAGATTGGCTATGGGATTCTTTTTAGATGGGGAAATTTTGTATAAAAGAGGCAAATACCAAGTGTTATTACACTGTGTAAGTGCTTCTAAAGCCAAAAAGATTATTGAGGAAGTTCACAATGATGTATGTGGAGCACATACAAATTGGCATATAATGGCAAGACAGGTCATGCGGGTTGGATATTATTGGATGAAAATGGGAAAAGATTGCATTGATTATGCTTGAAAATGTCACAAATGCCAGATTTATGCTAATAAGTTAATGCTCTACCCAGTGCTTTACATGTTATAGCACTACCTTGGCCATTTTCTATGTAAGGAATGGATGTCATTGGTCCCATCACACCAAAGACCTTAAACGAGAATAGGTTTATTTTTGTGACGATTGACTACTTCACTAAATAGGTCAATGCCACCTCTTTTATAACTATGACTAGATTAGTGGTTTGCAAATTCATTAAAAGAAAAGATAATATATAGATATGGGCTTCTAAAAAGGATCATCTTTGACAACACAAAGAATTTGAATAACAAAATGATGCAAGAAATATGTGTTTAGTTTAAAATCAAACACCATAATTCAACTCCATATCACCCAAAAATGAATAAGGCAGTAGAAGATGCAAATAAAAATATCAAGAGAATTCTAGAAAAGATGATGAAAACATATAAAGATTGGCACGAAAAGTTACCTTTTGCTCTACATGCGTATCAAACTTTCGTATGCACCTCTATTGGGGCAACTCCTTTTTCCTTGGTTTATGGAATGGAAGCTATATTGCTAATAGAAGTAAAAATCCCATCTCTAAGAGTCCTAAGGGAAGTGAAGTTAGAAGAAGCTAAATGGATTCAGAAGCGCTATAAGTAATTGAACTTTATTGAGGAGAAGAGATTGACGACATTTTGCCATAGCCAATTATACCAAAAAAGAATGATGAAAGCTTACAATAAAAAGGTTAGACCTCGTTAGTTTTTAAGAAGAAAAGTTGGTACTGAAAAGAATTCTTCCAAGTAGCATGATGATAGAAGGAAATGGACCCCGAATTAGGATAGACCATATATTGTAAAAAGAGCTTTTTCAAGTGGAACCTTGATCCTGTCAAAAATGGATAGAGATGAACTTCTTAATCCTGTTAATTCTGATTCAGTAAAGTAGTACTTTGCCTAATCCAAAAAAAAAAAAAAAGAAAGTTCAAGGTGAAAACCCGAAAGGGCGGCTTGAACCCAAAAAAAAAAAAAGGTTCAAGTTAAAAACCCGAAAGGGTAACTTGGATCCAAGGGAAAGGGTTTGAGTTGAAAACTCTGAAAGGTCGCTTGGATGAATAAAACGTGGCATCACTTGGGAAGGCATACCAAGACAGTGAATTTCAAAGAGCTTTGAAATGTCGAGGCATCATATCTTGATTGAATTTTTAAAAGAGGTCCAAGATCTGTTGTCATGGTTATCTAATCATTTGTCTTAGGGCATTGCTATCCCAAATAGCTATTCTTGAATACCATCTTTTATCTTTATACCATTAATTGTAATTTATTGCTTATCTAAATAAATGAAAACTGTCTTATTATTCTCTTCTAGTTCTATACATTGCCAATATATTTGTCCGTTCTCTTTATACCTATTCATGAATGGAAGAAATGCATAACTTGCATCCCACACTTTGAAATTAGGATAATGATTAATAACTGAACAAAGTCATAAAAAGTTGTGTGTTGCCTTAAAGAATTAAAGGAGATAAAGACAAATGATGAATGCCTCATAAAACAAAAAGGGGAAATTGACTTCCATGGCTTTCTTTAGGCTAAAGATAAACATTCAGGTTGATGAAAGATGGTTTCTTTGCCAAAGATGCTCCTCCAAGTTGATGAAAAATAGTTTCTCTGCCAAATATGTGTATTCAGGTTAATAAAGGATGGTTTCTTCACTAAAATGTACAGTAAAGGTAAATATTTAGGATAATAAAAGATGGTTTCTTTGCTAAAGATGTGCAGAAACGAGGATGCAAAAGCCTTAGTACCAAAATTAATGTTTCATTTGCATTTTAGATAGGACATGCATTTGCGTTATCCACTCATTTAATCTTGATTTAGTCCAGGTCATTTCTTATAATTCATGGTTCATCCCAGTCATTTATTTTTTACCTCAACTTGGTCTTAGTCATTTTATTTTAACTTGTGGTTTCGTCCCAGTCACTTGATCTTAGCTCAGTCCAAATCATTTCTTATAATTCATGGTTCTGTCCCAATCATTTATTTTAACATCGATTCAGTCTTGGTCACTTTATTTTGACTCGTGGTTCCTTCTTGGTCACTTAATCTTAGCTCAGTCCAAATCATTTTTTATGATTGGTGGTTCTGTCCCGATCATTTATTTTTTACCTAGACTCGGTCCTAGTCACTTTATTTTGACTCATGGCTTTGTCTCAATCACTTGATCTTGGCTCAATCCAGATCATTGTTTATGATTCGTGGTTCTGTCCTAATCATTTATTCTCGACCTCGACTCAGTCCTGGTTGCTTTATTTTGACTAGTGGTTTCATCTCGGTCACTTGATCTTAGCTTAGTCCATATCATTACTTATGATTCATGGTTTCATCCCAGTCATTTATTTTCGATTTCAACTCGGTCCTGGTCACTTTTATTTATTTTTTACCACAATTCAATCTTGGTCGTTTTATTTTTACTCATGGTTTTGTCTCGGTCATTTAATCTTGGTTCAATCCAGATCATTTCTTATGATTTGTGATTTTATCTCGATCACTTATTTTTGACCTCGACTTGATCCTAGTTGCTCCATCTCGACTCGTGATTTAGTCTCGGTCATCTGATCTTAGTTCAACCCAAGTCATTTTTCATATTCGAAGATCTTTTTTTGATTTGATTCAAATAGAGTGGGTGTCTAGATCTTTGCAATATCATTGTCTAACAAAGATGTGCAAAGAGGGGCAACTGTAGACACTCATTTGTGTTCGGGCTCACTAGGGCCCATTGGTGTATGGGCCCAAATAGGTCTGTTTAGGTGCAACCAGGCCCATTTGTGATTGGGCTCAATTAAGCCCATCCAAATCTAAGCTCGATTAGGCCCATTCAGGCCCCAACTAGAAGTTTATTTATTATTATTATATTATTATTATTATTATCATCATCATCATTATTATTATTATTTTTTTTCATTTTTTTCTTTTTTGAGTTCCTTTTCTTTCTTTATTGCTTTCTTTTTTTAATCCAACTCACACGTGCACAAAGGATGGAATTGGGATCAAATTGGTAAAACACAAAATCGTATCGATTGGAATTTTGGACCAAAAAATCATGCTGGACAAAATACAATCCTATGATTCAAGCATGGGATTGATTCTAGCCATTTCCTAAAATTATTCCTATGACTGCCTATAAATTTTATTGATTCTATAGAAGACGGACACACAAAAATTTTGACAGAGAGCTATTGAAAAAATTTAGAAAATTTTAGACAGAAAGGGTTCTGAGAGCTTAATTTTGGGATTCTGGTTTTAATCTAAAATTGTGGGTTTGATCTTAGGTTTTTAGGTTAGAATTAGGGTTCATGACGATTCTGAAGGTTTTAGGAGCAATCTAGGCAAAATTTGGAAAACTCTGGGGTTTTTTTAGAATTTTTGGATTTTTTGGGTCTTTTTGAAGAACTTTGAATTTTTCAACGAAGGTTGAAGTTTTTATCGAGATTTCGACAAGGTTTCCAGAATTAGGCATGTTTTCTAGAAACTGGTGGGTTTTCTAGTTTTCAGTTGAATTTTTCAATGACATCTCTAGAAATCGATGAGATTCTCAGTTTTTGATTGAATTTGCCGGTGGATTTTCTAGAAAGAGGGCAGAGCAAAATTGGCTAGAGAGAGAGATAGGGGAAGAGGTTTCTGAGCATAAAGGTGTTGGACTTGGCTTATATACCGTTTCTACACGACATCATTTTGACTGCTTAAGATTCGCGTGAACCCTACTCAGGATCCGTACGCTGACCTAATATCAACCTGACCTAATCACAGGTTTTTCTTTTTCCATTTTCTTTTTATTTTTTGATTTGATTTGATTTATTTTATTTTTAACCCAATTTTTTTTATTTTTTTTAAAAAGATAGAGTTATTTCTGGCACTTTTATTTAAAAACAAGTAAAAAAGTAAAAAGAAAAAATGAAGTTCTAAAAAAAAATAATAAAATAAAATAAAATTTGAGAGCTTTACTATTTTCTTTATGGAATAAAAGTTAATAAATCTGACGACGGAGCCTTTTCAAAGTGGGACACTAGTCTCCATGAATACTCCTGAGGTGAGAGAATTATCTTAAATTGCTACCAAACTATTGGACAATTTTAGGGCTAATTTTCAATATTAAATTATTTGATAAATCATAAAAATAATCAAGGCTTGGATAATTTGAAATCAAAATTGATACCATCCTTGGATGGGCATTGTGGGGGTACTACAACTTTCTCTATACATAACCGACTCTTGAACCTAAGATCTCTTTTGTAAATCAGATGCAATCAGGTGGCCAATCGCATCTAGACAAAAAAGATTGATGACAACTCCCTTTTAACCTATGTCTAGTGGTAGGTCCACGAATCTATAAGTTATGACAATACCTATATTGAGGCAAAATTTAAATTAAAAAAAACCATATTTTTTTAATGTTTTATAGATACTTGAGCTACAATATGTAGTTGTAGAAGTAATGCTTTACCAATAGAATAATGGGAGCCACTTAAGTATCCAATAGCAGTAATAGGAATAGATGGTAAACAAACCAAAATAGAATAGAAAGCAAAAAATATACCAATTTACTTTATGAATAAAAATTTATAATTTAAAAAATTTTATG